AGCCCAGGGGTTTATCCATCCGTCCATGTCCCCAGCCGCTTCAGAGTTCTTTTTGTTAGGATGGAGGTTTTAGACATGGTATAGACAATCAAGTTCTCAATGACATCACTAAAAAAAAATTGCCTCTCCCTTGCCACTTACCCCAGTAGCCCTTGAACAACTTTGTGGAGCTTGTTTTTTCACTAAATTTGATCTTCATAGTGCCTACAATTTGATCAGTATCAAAGAGAGTGAAGAGTAGAAGATGTCATTCATCACCACCAGGAGGCACTATGAATACTCCATCATGTCTTTCTGGCTCTCTAAAGACCCCTCTGTTTTCCAGTCATTCATAAATGACGTGCTTCAGGACATGATAGGGAGATTCGTGATCACTTAGATTGATAATATTCTGATCTACTTTCCAGACCATGACACACACCTGCAACAAGTTCGTCAACAATGCCTGCTAGAAAACAACCTGTTCATCAAAGGAGAGACGAATTTTATTAGGGTATGTTATCAGCACACAGGGGGTTCTCATGGATGACAAAAAGGTTGAAGCAGTAGTAGACTGGCCAACTCCCACCAACATAAAAGAGCTACAAAGTTTCCTAGGGATCACCAATTTCTACAGAAGGTTTATTTTCAAATTCAGTTTGATCGCCGCACCCCTCACAGCTCTCCTTAGGGAAGCATCTAAAAAGTTAGCTTGGTGTTCTCCAGCAGAGAAAGCCCCTGTCCTTAAACATCCTGACCTGTCCAAACCAGCTGAGTAAAATTTGATTGTAAAAAAGTAAATGGTAGATCGTTTTATTCATATATACAGTGGAGGAAATAAGTATTTGATCCCCCACTGATTTTGAAAGTTTGTACTCTGACAAATAATTAAACAGTCTATGATTTTTATGGTAGCTTCATTTAACAGTGAAAGATGGAATATCAAAAAGAAAATCTAGAAAATGAAATAATATTTAAATAAAAAAATAATTTGCATTTCATTGAGGGAAATAAGTATTTGATCCCCTAAAAACCATGACTAATGTTGGCTCCCACAGACCACTGACACACCCTAATCTCAGTGAAGTCATTACTTGCATGAGAGACACCTGTCCCAAATTGTCACCTGTATAAAAGGCCACCTGCCAACAGACTCAGTGACACTCCAACATCTCCACCATGGGCTAAAGAGAGACTAAAGAGCTGTCTAAAGATGTCAGGGAAAAGATTGTTGACCTATACAAGGCTGGAATGGGCTACAAAGCCATAAGTAAGAAGCCGGATGAGAAGGTGACAACTGTTGGTGCAATTATTCGGAAGTGGAAGAAGTACAACATTACTATCAATCGACCTAGGCCTGGAGCTCCATGCAAGATATCACCTCGTATCACCTCCTGAAGTGTGTGCAAACCTTACAAAAAACTACAAGAAACATCTGACTGCTGTGCTTGCCAACAAGGGTTTTGCCACCAAGTATTAAATGATGTTTTACTAGGGGGTCAAATACTTATTTCCTTCAATGAAATTCAAATTAATTTTTATTTCTCATTTCATGTAATTTTCTCAGTTTTTCTTTTGATATTCTATGTGTCACTGTTAAAATAAAGCTGGCATAAAATTATGAGACGTTTCATTTATTTTTTTGTATTAAAACTTTTAAAGTCAGTGGGGGATCAAATACTTATTTCCTCCACTGTATAAGCTACTTGAGTGATTATTATTTGAATTTACTCCAAGAACTGGAAATCCACTTTTTTTTTCATGCAGCTGAATTAATATAACTAAATTTAACACTTACTGTAGATAAAGTTAACCAGCTAAGCTTCAAATACCTCAATAGATAGCAATGCTTCCAACATAAATAAAGAAGGAAAAAAAAAATTCCAGCATACAATTAATGCTGTTAACCTTTACACTTGGTTTTAGAAAGCCATGTCCGACTTTGTGCTAGCTGACAAACTTAGCTTAGTTTGAGGTGAGAGGCTTGGATGTACGGATCGCAGCATAGCATGTTCGGAGTTTTATTGACACCATAGCTGGATAGACAGTCATTACAGAGTTACTAATGATGTTATGTTTAATACTGAGGCTCCGAGGCATGTTCTGAGCATGGACCCAAAATCCAAATGAAGCTCTATATCTTGCATCATAAGGCCTTGCTTTTTGCCCAAACACATGACTGCTTTGGTTTGCATTTCAGAAGATTTGAAACCCCACCAGCCTTTATTGTCCTACCCTCTTGTACTGTACCAGGCAGTTGTGATGGGGACTGTCATGGCAAATCATAAAACAGTTAAATGCTATTATATGACCTTCATGAGAATATTGACTCATACATATATTTGTCACACTGTGATAAGTGACTAAACTGAAAACTTTTTTTAAACAGTGTGTTTAAAATATGTTATCTATGTTTTTAGTGATTGCATATCGCTGTTTTTAGAACAAAACCTTGTATTTTCAAAATGGTAATTTTACACGAAAAGAAAAAACATACTTTACTTTTAATGTAGGTTAATGGGACTAGGTCTTTGTTCCAAGCCATTTTGGGCTGTTTCTTTTGGTCCATTCATCATGAAATTTACACGCAATATAAAGGGCAACAGGCAGTTTTAAATCATGCCAAAAACTCAAAAATAGAGATAGGAGTTTTTCTGACAGCAGCGATATGTAATGTGTATGTGTGTTTAATGTGTTTTCTGTGTACTGCACTTTAGTGTGAAAAATTAATACTGCAATCTAGTGGTTAAAATAAATAATGCACTCTAGCAGTTACAATACTGCACTCTACTGTTTAAAATTAATAATGCAGTCTAAAGATTAAAATAATACTATCTTCTAATCTCTAAAATAACTACTGAACTATAGAGGCTAAATTAAATATTGCACTTTAGTGGCTTAACTACATCCTGCAGTCTAGTGGTTAAATAAATACTGCACTCCAGTGGCTAAAATAATTACTGCACTCTAGTGACTAACATACTTACTGTATGCTTACGGTTAGCATAAATACCAAGTAAATCACAGATTAACAGACTTCAACATCTGAATTTACATCTGAATCAAAGAAGAAATAAAAAATCTAGTACTGCTCCAAATGTAAATGATATGTAATGAAACAGAATATGCATATAGAGGGTGAGTGAGAGTTCCAGCATTAAAGCTATTGTGATGTAGACTGGGATCGGTTCACTGACATAAAGATGATCTCTTGTGGCTCGGCCCATTGGCACTGGTTCCATTCAGTTAACAATGGCTGTGTCCCTGTGGGTCTGATGGAGATGGACATAAGTCTTTCACAAGACCAAATCATTACTATTCTGGAGAACTCTCACTCAGTGATCTGTTTTAGGTAGCTCAGACACTAAAAGGTGCTCATAAAATCTAAAGGTGCTCATAAAGTCTAAAATAAATTGGTTTCTATGGAGCCTTTGTACAAAACTGAAATTTGTAAACAATAAATCAGTTTTTACATTAAAAAACCTCTTCTCAAGACAACATAAGATATCAACACTGCAATCACACATTTAATATATTTATGGCTCTTTTTAAAAATTTTATTACAGTACATTATTCATACTGATTACAACGAGAGAGATCTGCTTCACTCAGCATGAGCTCAGTTTGATTAGACACTGTTGATTAAAAGGGAAATTTCCCCTCTGCAATCTAACCCATTCATGCAGTGAAACACCACATACATAACAGTGAATACACACTAGGGGGCAGTGAGCAGCCCTATCCACAGCGCCCGGGGAGCAGTTGGGGGTTAGATGTTTTGCTCAAGGGCACTTCAGTCACGTACTGTGGGCTCAGGGGATTGAACTGGTGACCTTCCGGTCACAGGGCTGGTTCCCTAACCTCTAATCAATTAAACAACAATGTAGAATTTTCTATCATTAAAGCACTACCAAGTTTCCTGATGCAGTTTTACAGTTGCTACACCTCAAATTTAGGAATAACACACAGTCAGTGAAACCTGACACAGAATGAGCAAAACCTCAGCCCAGGTCTGCACTACCATAAGCACACTCTCAGCCTCACACTTTTAGCAAAACACTACAGACTGTCTTTTGCAGACCACTGAACACACTTCTCTCCACATTAGATACAGAAATCTAACATGATGTCAGTTCTTTGCCATTTCAAAGCACTGACTTTCAAAATAGCTCACCTGTGAACCAACTAATCAAACAAAGCCATCAGGTGAACAGACACCTAGGTGATTAATTGTACCAATCAAATGTAAGTACTATAAAAGCTAACAAGTGATTTTTTAATGCATGCTGTCTTTTTTGTCTCCACAAATATTTTTGCTGTGTTTTGGTAATATATACTTTTTAGAATATGTTCTGAATTTCAATGCAAAATGCAGCCTTTGCAAATGCATGAATGTTTTGACATGTGGAGAGAAATACAATTTTTCATCAGTGTGCAGGGTTGGGATGTAATGGAATACAAGTATTGAGAATACATGTTTAGAATACAGAAAAAAGCTCTTTATTCAGTCCAAGTCACATTTTGTAAAGGCAGTATTCAGAATACACTGTTTTTGAATGAAACACCATTAATACTTGTTTTTAAATCAGCGCACTGCATGTAGCAAACATGCTCATTGGATGAACTCTTAAGAGGACCTCAATGAACAGTTTTATTACCAAAAAGTTATTCTGGCTAAAGCTTGAGTCGACTGATGAATCAATTGGCCAGTTATTGATCTGTGTTACTGAGATCTGTTAAAGCCTGAATAGACTGATAAATCAATGTGATTAGTAATTAATCTGTGTTACTGAGCTCTGCTAAAGCCTGAGAAGATTGATAAATTAACTAAAAAAATAGAGAAAAAAAGCTTTCCCATGTGCTTTGAGTATGCATTTTAGATGCATTCTAAATGTACTCTGATGTTAGTTTTTATATATTGCAACAGAATACATCACTGAAACTCCATCAGCATTTCCACTGGTTTGGAGAGTTGAGATTATGATGTTGATGTTTAGTATCAGCTGGTTTAGAGGTCATTTTGTTACCATGATGCCATGCTGTGCTCCTCCCTCCTGTACACACTCTCATCACCAATATAGGGTCATCCACCAATGTAAGGAGTTTCATGGACAGGTCATTAAAGGTGCAGTCACTGGTGTACAGGAAGTGATGTCATGGGGAGATCACACAGTCCTATGCTGCAGCTGTGCTCACAGATTTGACTGATAACAAACCAACAAACACACACATGGTACCATGTAGAACCATATACTGAGTGTGTGTTGTACTAAGATTTCATCATGTCCTTATAACCCTCTGTGTGAGAGCAGATCAGCTGGATGGTGTTCTGATGCTGTAAGACAGAGAAGAGGAGAGAATCATCAGAAATGGACTCACACTTATGGGTCATTCAACATCAACACATCTAGGACCCGTTTGGTCATGTCATGGGCTTCCATGAAGAAAATCAAGCAAAAATAACAAGTTAACACTTTAAAGCATGAAAGATGTCAAAACTGTGCACCAGTTTGTTTTTAATAATGAATTTTTTAGGTTTTCTTCATCAGGTTCTAAACTCCATGGTGATTATTGAGTTTATCATCTTACAGAATGACTGAACTGATTTGAAATATTAACTAGGTTTAAATACAACCCTAATGATGATAATACTTCCCTTTAAAATAACTGTGATAATACAACTCCAATTCCAAAAAAGTTGGGATGCTGTATAAAATGTAAACCAATGTAAATAAAAACAAAATGCAAATGATATGCAAATATCATAGACCCATATTTTATTCACAATAGAACATAGAACGCCTATCAGATGTTAAAATTGAGACATTTGACCTTTTAAAAAAATAAATAATTGGGATAAATATTAATAGGAACAATATTAAATAGGAATGTTTTCCCATTTTTGTCTGATGTAGGATTCCAGCTGCTCAACAGTCCTGGGTCTTCTTTGCTGGATAATTTGTTTCATGACATGTCAAATGTTTTCTATTGGTGAGAGGTCTGAACTGCAGGCAGGTCAGTTCAGCACAGCGCTCAGACTCTTCTTCTGTGAAACCATGCTGTTGTGATGGATGCAGTATGTGGTTTAGTATTGTCTTTCTGAAATATGCAAGGCCTTCCCTGAAAGAGACGCTGTCTGGATGGGACCATATGTTGTTCTATAACCTCTATATACTGTTCAGCATTGATAGAGCCTTTCTAGATGTGTAAGCTGCCCATGCCATAGGCACTAATGCAACTCATACCATCAGAGATGTAGACTTTTGAACTGTATGCTGATAACAAGCTGGATGGTCCATCTCCTCTTGAGTCCACAGGACATGATGTCTGTGGTTTCCAAATAATTTCAAATTTTGATTCATCTGGCCCAGACAAGATGGTGGTGTTTCTACATTATGTTGACATATGGCTTCTTCTTTGCATGATACAGCTTTAACTTTGTTAGTTTTTATTTTTATTTTTGAAGTTGTGGATTGCATGGAGAACTGTGTTCACAGACAATGATTTCTGGAAGTGTTCCTGAGCCCATGCAGTGTTTCCCAGTACAGAATCATGCCTGTTTTTAATGCAGTGCTGCCTGAGGGCCAGAAGATCACAAGCACCCAATATTGACTGTTGGCCTTGTCTCTTGTGTACAGGGATTTCTCCAGATTCTCTGAATCTTTTGATGATATTATGCAGAGTAGATGGTGGGATATCCAAAGTCTTTGCAATTGTACATTGAGGAACATCTTTCTCAAATGGTTTCACAATTTTTTCATGCAGTTTTTCACAGATTGGTGAACCTCTGCCCACCTTTGCCTCTGAGAGACTCTGCATCTCTAAAATGTTCTTTTTATACCCAGTCATGTGAGCTAGTTGCAAAATGTTTGCAGGACATTTGTTTGTCTTATTTAAAATGAAATTGTATTTTTTTCTGAACACCACAATTACTTATAAAATCTAATTTGAACATAGTTATTTACTCAAACACACCTTTGTGTGTGTTTGTGTGTCTGAATGTGTGTGAGTGAGAGAGAGCAATAGAGAAAGAGAGAGAGAGAGAGTGAGTGTGTATGTGTCTGTGTTTTTGAAGAGACAGTAATTCAGTAACTCACTGTAGCTTCTCCAGTTTACAGTATGGATCCTCCAGTAGATCAGAGAGCAGCTTCACTCCTGACTCTCCTGGTTTATTGTATTTCAGGTTCAGCTCTCTCAGGTGGGAGGAGGGGTTTGATTTTAGAGCTGAAACCAGAGAAGCACAGCCTTCACCTGTAATACTGCAGTTATCCAGCCTACAGAGAGAAGGAGAAAAACTTCTTAAACTTACAGATGAACACACATACACACACACACCCACACACTCACAGAAACACATACACACACATTCACACACTCATACATACTCACACACAGTCATACACACACAAGCACACAAACTCATGTTGTCTGTATTTCTGTCTCTCAGTTCTCTCAGTTCTATATTTTCTCTCTCTGTATGTCTTTGTCTTGCTCACTGTCTGCCCTGTTGTCTCTGTATGTCTTTCTTTCTGTTTCCTTCCTTCTTTCTCTATGTGTAAATCTATTAAACACAGAGATATGAAAGTCGGTGGGGGTGTAATTATCTCACTCCAGTTTCTCCAGTTTACAGTGTGGATTCTTCAGTCCAGCAGAGAGTAGCTCCACTCCTGAATCCTTCAGTTCATTAAGACACAGGTTCAGCTCTCTCAGACTTGAGGAGTTTGAGCTGAGAGCTGAGGACAGAGCCGCACAGTTGGTCTCTGTGAGATTACAGAGACATAGCCTGGGAGAGAAATGATGATACACGACGATACATGATATACGTAAGCCTGCATGTGTCTGTGTGTGTTTGTGTTTATGTAAGTTTGTATGTGTGTGTGTTTAAAGTGTGTATATTGACAGTAGGTCAGTAACTCACTCTAGTTTCTTGAGTTTACAATGTGGACCCTCCAGTAGATCAGACAGCTGCTCCACTCCTGACTCTCCTGGTTTATTGTAGTTCAAGTTTAGCTCCCTCAGGTGAGAGGAGGGGTTTGATTTTAGAGCTGAAGCCAGAGAAGCACAGCCATCACCTGTAATGCTGCAGTTAGAGAGCCTGCAGAAAGGAGAAAAAATCCTCACAATTACAGATAAACATAAAGACACACTCACACAGACACACACACCCATTCACATACACACACTTGCACAGACACACACATACATATATCTCTACATAAATATAGTTCTATATTTTATCTTTGTATATTTTTCTGTCTTGCTCTTTCTTTGCCTCTTGCTCTCTTTCTCCTTCAGTCTCTGTCTGTATTGCTGTGTGTCCTTCCATCTCCCTTTGTCTGTTAAAGAGTTGTTGCTAATAATAAAGCCATACAGACATATAAAAGAGTGTCTGTGTGTGTAATTACTCACTCCAGTATCTCCAGTTTACATTGTCGATTTTCCAGTCCAGCAGATAGTAGCTCCACTCCTGAATCCTGTAGTTTATTGCCACTCAGATCCAGTTCTCTCAGACTGGAGGAATTTGAGCTGAGAGTTGAGGACAGAGCTGCACAGCTTTTCACTGTGAGATTACAGTTAAACAGCCTGGGAGAGAAATTACGATACATCAGAATACACACATTTTCTTTTCTTGTCCTACAGAACATAATGTCATTAAAAGATTCAGAGAATCTGGAGAAATCTCTGTATGCAAGGGACAATGCCAAAATCCAGTATGTGCTGGCAATGGTTTTTGGGTCATCAGGCAGCACTAAAAACAGACACAATTCTCTATAACTCTAAAATGCAAAGAGAAACCATATATAAACAGGATCCAGAAATGCTGTCACATTCTCTACACACACACATTCATATACACACATAAAAACAGAAACATGTACACACAAATTCTCTTTTTTTGTCTCTCTCTCTCTTTCATGGTCACAAACAAACAGCTTCAGTTCCAGACCAAAACAAAAACAAAAGTTTATGTCTGTGTAGAAAAACAAAGTGAGAATTACAGCTTTTCCTGAGTGGTTGAACGTAGGGAAAAAAAAATCGCTCGCACACACACACACACACACACACACACACACACACACACACAAATTGCACAAACAAACACACAAGCATCACAAGTCACAAATACACACAATCACATACCCACACGTTTGCATAGTATTGCATAATCACACACAAAATCAAACACACAAACAGTCATAAACACATACACACAATTCCACAGTGACACACACACAGCCCCATGTTCTCTCACTGCATCTCTCCCTGTATTGCATTGTGTTCTTCTCTGTCTCTCCTTCTTTCTGCCCTTCTTTCTCTGTTTCTATCTCTTTGTTTAAATGTGTTTGTGTCTTATTAAACCATGACTGTGTGTGTGTGTGTATGTGCTGATCTCACCTCAGTATCTCCAGTTTACAGTGTGGATTCATCAGTCCAGCAGAGAGCAGCTCCACCCCTGAATCCTGCAGGTTATTTTCACTCAGGTTCAGTTTTCTTAGGCTTGAGATGTTTGATCTAAGAGCTGAAGACAGAGCTGCACAGCTTTTCTCTGTGAGATTACAGTTACTCAGCCTGGTAGAGAAATGATGATATATCAGAACACTGATGCACATACACACACACACTCATGCACATAATTACGCAGACCATCACACACACTCATACACACTCCTACATTCAAAACACAATTCACACGCCCACACACACACACACACACACACACACACACACAGCCTATATTCTTGATATCTGCATCTCTTTTCTTTCTCTATTTAAGGTCTCTTTTTCTCTTTGTGTCTCTCTATGACTATCTTTCTCTGTCTTTCTTTGTTCTCTCTCTTTTCCATTTCCCTTTGTGTCTGATCTCTCTCTCTGCCTCTCTCTCTATCTCTCAGTGTCTCTTATCATGTTTAGCATGTTTAGTGGCAGGTTGCTGATTCAGGAGATTCAGGAGATCCTTTGTCCCATGAGCCATCAGGCTCTTTAACTCTTCCCAGTGGGCCCAGAAGAGAAGAGGGAAGAGGAGAGATGAGGACTGAATCTGAATCTCATGTTAAAGCATAGGTTGTACCTCATGCTAAAATCTTTAGGTTTCATTTTATCCATCTGCACATATGGACACCTTACCGTACATATTGCACTTTCTGTAGCCCTATCGCGTATCTTGCACATCTGGACACTCCACACTCGACACTTTATTTTGGTACCATCTGCTGCACATATTTATTCAGTACTGTCATTATATGCTGTTACCTGAACATACCTGCACATATTTATTCAGTATTGTCATTATATGCCAATACCAGTGCCTCCTGGTACAGTCATCATTGCACTGCCACTTTCACTTTCATCTCAGTTTATAGATATTATTCCAGATTGTCATATTTTTCTATTTGTATATATGCCTGTACATAAGATTTTTTATATTTATTCTTCCTGTTATATTGTTTACACCCTTATTACTATTACTGTCCTGTGTTGTGTGATTGCTACTCATTGCTAAATTTCCTTCGGGATCAATAAAGTACCTGTCTATCTATCTATCTGTCTATCTATCTAGCCCTCTCCCTCCATCTGTCACTGTCTTTTTTCTGTGTCCCTTTTCTCTCTCCTTCCATCACTCTCTCTGACGTTCTTTTTGCTCCCCTCCATCTTTTTCTTAATTTCTCTGTCTACTGAAATATATTTCTGAGTATTTTTCATGTGAAAGTGTAAGTCATCTACACACATACACACACAAACTCATACATTTATTCACACACACACATACACACAATCAAACAAAAAAATCTCTCATTCTCTCTATTTCTCTTTCTTAGTTATCATCATCTGAAAAAAATCCTAAACTGTCACAGACAAACAGCTACAGTTCCAGACCAAGGCAAAAATATTTTATATCTTGTAGAAAAATCAAACTGAGTTTTACATTTTTTTTTCCTGATTACTTGAATGTTTTTGTTAATTTAGAAGTCATTTATTTAAAATAGTGAACACACAACTTGCTAGTCAAAATAATGCAGTTTTTTGTAAAACCATCTTTCTACCAAAAAACATTAAACACACCACAAAAGCAAACTTTTTTTATCAGACACTACAGCTTACAATCAAGTGAGAAATTTATTTCAGTCTCTCACTATCCAACAAAAACAAAGTACAAATTTCAGTTTGAGCCTGTTCAGCCATCAGTAGTGCTGGATACCTGTGTTTTAACTGCTGACATTTTATTGAAAACAGTACTAGAATTTGTTGAAATACATGTTTCACAGCATGGAATCAATTCTTGTCTTCTAGGTAGGTTATGTTTTGTGTGTGTTATCTATGTGAAATACTGTTACTGAGTTATGAATACACTGAGCTATGAAAGTGTGTGTGTGTCTCTCTCTCTCAGTCCTAATTTTTGACTTTCTCCTTCTCTTCCTGTCTTTAAATCTTGGTGTCCCTGTGACTCTCTTTCTGTCATTTTCTTTGTGCTATCTCTTTGTATCTCTCTCTTTTCTGTCTGTCTTTGTCTCTCTGTTATTTCTCATTCTGTTTTGTTCTATCTTTGTTTCTGTTTCTTCTCATTCTTCCTCCATCTTTCTCTTTCTATTTAAAGATGTCACTGAGTTTTTTTGCTATAAAGGTTTGTGTGATTGATCAATACACACAAATGCACAGTAATGAGATGATGATCTCACCTCAGTATTTCCAGTTTACAGTGTGGATTCTCCAGTCCAGCAGAAAGCAGCTCCACTCCTGAATCCTGCAGTTTATTATTACTGAGATCCAGTTCTCTCAGACAGGAGGAGTTTGAGCTGAGAGCTGAGGACAGAGTTGCACAGCTTTTCTCTGTGAGATTACAGTTATACAGCCTGGTAGAAAAATGATAATACATCAGAACACTGACATCACACAAATACACATAATCATGAACACAGTATTTTTTTACAACACCTGTTGTAAAAAGTGCTATATAAATAAACTTTGACTTGACTTGACACACACAACCATAAACATACACACAAATCATACATACACACAAACACAGAAAAAATCTCACACAAACACATGCACAAAAATAATGAGGTAAATAATGACACTCTACATGTTCATATTACAGACATTTCCTATTTTTAGTTCTAATTAAATTACAGTTAACTTGACTGCAAGTTTCAGGCTCATTGACCAATATGTGATGTACATGCACAGTTAAATGTCTAAATGAGCATTGACTGACTTCAAATGGATGATCAAATGGATTTTTGGTATGTCAGAACTTTGGCTTGCTTGGTTTACAGCTTGTGCATCTTAAAAACTGAATTCTCATACAAAACGCACACACATACACACTAACATTGCCTCTACTCAAGTGAACACAGGTAGCAAAATCTAGGCAAAAAAGTCTCTGTTTATGGTAACAAAGTCTGTATGTGCTCACTCTGGTTTGTTTGACTAAATAGAATTGTGAGACAGAAACATTAAGATTTTTTTAATTTTTTAATTCTCTCTGAAAACAGACCATTGGGCATCAAGGATAGTATGTATACCATCTAATTTTATGTTGTTTTTTATTTTAGTGCTCAGTGTGGTACTGTTCATTGACAGATCTGTCTGTAGGATTTGTGTTTTATGTACAGTGTGAGCATCCATGTCTTCACATGTCAATCAGATCAAGCATCTTCATATATTGTGAGGATACAAATCCCAGGCCTTGGCTGATGTTTTATTTATACATACAGTGTGAGTTTAACCAAACAGCAACATAAATTTTATTGTTTGAATTGAATTGAATTAATTACATACTTGTTGTTCAAATATATGGACTTCACGATGTTGCATACTTTATCACCTACACCACATTGTAGAATCTTATAAGTAGTCTGGTGTAACAAATAGAATTAAAAGCTTTTTTAAAGTCAACAAAGCATGCATATATTTTACTCTTTATTGGGGAACATGCTGTTTGATTAGGGTGTGTAGGCTGTAAATATAAGCAGTATGGTGGTGATTTGCTTGAAGGCCAATCTGACTCTTACTCAGGACACTGTGTTGGGTAAGGAAGGTCTATATTCAAGCATTAATAATACACCAGTAAACCTTCCCCAGATTACTGCCAACACAGATGCCTTAGTAATTGTTGGGGTCACATTTGTCTCCATTCTTATAGATAATAGCTGATTCAAGGAGGTCAAATATATTTTGTATATACTTTTCGTTGGGTTTGAGTATTTTTGGAGGCATTCTTTAAATAGATTAGTATTTTTTGATGCATTTGTATGTAACTGTATAGTTTTCTTATATTGCTTGAGTGTTTCAATGTATTTTTGTCTCACTTTTTGTGGTTCTTAAATGTTTTTGACCAGATAGCTTTCTAAGCCTCTTTTTCTTTGTTTTGGTGAGGTTCACTTTGATTGTACATTTGTTATAAATTTCATTTATTTGTTTTACTTCCAGATTTACATCCGTCTCATTAGTCTGGAGCTCTGTTGTTAGGAATCTATATAAGTTAAGGATCTCTGTAGAACTGATTGCATGGGAGAATTCAGACACACTGTCCATTGTCCATTTATAAGCAAGATTATCTGGATTAATTTACAGGACTTTTCTGATTTCTTTGTTTGATTATCACTGCTTTGCCAATAGCAAGCCCTGGATAACCAGCAATGTCAAAGGCCTGCTGAACAAGAAGAACAGGGCCTTTATAGACAATAACGAGGAGGAGCTTAGGAGCATACAGAGGGAACTCAAAGTCCACTTGTGAGAGGCCAAGGAGTCCTATAGGAAGAAGGTGGAGCAGGAGTTAAGGGAGAATAACATAAGGCAGTTATGAAATGGTATGAAGACCATTACAGGCTGTAAGCATAAGATGGACAGTGCCTTAGACAGTGAGGTAGAGAGAGCCAATGAGTTCAACATCTTCTATAACCAGTTTGACTGCCCTATTCAGATCTCCACAGCGCCTGTATGTACAGTGGCCACCTCCACACCCTCCCTCTTCTCAGCTCCTGGCACTTCTGTCTCTGCCTGCCTAGACATCAACACCTCATCTTCTTATATTGATATTCATGTACCCCTCTCACAGGCTGACAGCACAGACAACACAGCCCCCTCTCCCTGCTTTTCACACATTAACACATTAGATCTGATCTGCAGCACCGCTGCAACCCCCCTTCTCCCCCTCTGCACATCTTCACTGCAGATTAGGTTAGAGGTGGATGATAGGTTGGACTGGTCAGCCAGCACAGACATCCTGTACAGAAAGGGGCAAAGCTGGCTCTATTTCCTGAGAAGGCTGGGGTCCTTTAACATCTGTAGGAAGCTCCTACCATGGTTGCCAGCTGTCTTTTTTATGCTGTAGTGTGCTGGGGAGGAATCATGAAAAAGTTGTTAGCTGCAGTGTAGGATTTTACATGAAATTGTCTGAGTTAATGCTTTTATTTCTGTTTTAAACCCTGACATTTTACCAGTGTCCATTTTGTCCTCAAAGAGAAACAATATTTCACGCATTTATGCACTGTTTTAGGCTGTGTTCTTTATTTGAGGTTTTGAAGAATGTTTTCTTAATGTGATTTTTACTCTCCAGATTTTTATCTGTGGTTTTAATAATGTCAAGAGCGAAAAGTCTAAGTGCCAACTGAACAACTTCATCCTTGGGCAGGTAACAATGGTGATATATGTAAGTCGTAAAACCAAGATGGCATGTAGTGCTGACTGTGATGCCACAGGGATTTTCTCTAGACTGGTCAGATTAAGGATTTTAATTGATTTTAATTGTTATAAGAGCATGTGGAGGCTTTTAAAGAAGTATGCTGCGGTAAGTTGGTGTGCTCGGTGTGTGACAGTGAGCTTTGCTTCGCTCCTGAGTTGAGACACATCCAAAACTGTTTTGTGTCCTTTTACATTTTTCCTATTCATATGTGTTATTTTATTTAATGATTTATTAAAGAGGAAGTCTTACTGCATAAGCTTTCTCAGCATAGCCAGGTTGTTTATGCAATTGATATAATCCCTTGGGCTGTAAATCTCTGCTGCTTCAACATGTAGTCTCCTTAAGGTCTTTATTGTTGTGAAAAATGATTTTGAAGAGTTGAACTTGGCACTTGGATTCAGGATTGATTACTTTGACTTATCTTTGCCACGACTGAAACAATGTAGTATTTTGGCTGTGGCTTAGAAGGGCACTTAGTGCGAAACTGCCTGGCTAAGGCTGGCAGGGCTCAGTCGGGAGCCTCGGCAGAGGGGGTGGGAGAAGGTCAGCTGATCATGGGTGAGATGAAGGTGAGCAAAATTGGAACAAGGTGCAGAGTGTAAGTCTGAGTGATACAGAGGAGCAGAGAAGTCTAGAGGGAGAACAGAAAACAGGAATGGAAATAGGTGAGGTGGGGCAGTGTGAGGTGGTGAAGAGGACAGTACTTGTGTTCAAAAGGTTACCTAACAGGGAGAAGACCAGGCAGCCCACTAATAATCTGAAAACAAACAAAAGTTTATCTCGGTCTTTGACTGACACTGCCTTTTTTCAGACTTTATCTTGAGCTGGCTTCTGTTTTCATTATTCTTTGCAAAGTGTGTTATTGAAATTTTTTGTTTATACCGAATGGTGTGAGGGCTGGCTCCAGGGCTGCAGTGCTCCTGGCCACCAGTGGGAGATGACACGCACCTCCCAGGGCCAGTCAAGCCCAATGTTCACACACATTGCTGTGTCTGTCTCAGTTTAAGTCAACAAAAGCAGCCGGTAACTCAGAAAGCCTGGGTTCACATCCTTTGCCTGGTGAGCCATCCCACATTACAGAAAGACACAGCAAAACAATGGACCCAGCTGAGCAACCTGACATGGATCAGCTGAGGGTTGCCCTGGTTAATCAAGGGGGAAGGCCTAAAGTGGCGTACATAATTTCTTTCGGTTTGAGCCCTCCCTAGGCCATTCCTGTGTAGGAGAACCAACCTGATGTGAGTGCTTCTGCAGATCCGTTCATGGCTGCTCTGTGCCAGGCTTTCCACCATCCTGTCTATGGAGGAGACATTGGTCATATGGCGCATATGTCAGGGAAAGCAGTCATTAGCTGATTCTGCCATCAGAGTCTGCACTTTAGCAGCAGAAATGACTGGGATTCTGCTAAGGCCTAAACAAGGAGCTCAAGGATGGGCTGGCCCCTCGTTATCCTCCTTCCACTCTCGGGGACCTAATTAAGCTACCGCTACCCCTTACCACTCATGTCCTCTGCCTATAATCTACGAAAGTGCTTCCTGGGCTTTGCTAACTTCTCCCATTGATTCGTCAAGAATTTTAGTATGATAGCTGCACCGCTGACCACTCTCACAAAAAAAAGAGTTTTGGGTCAATTTCAATGGACTCTGGAAGTCCAGGAAGCCTTTGAAGAAACTAAGTGGCATTTGACTTTGGCCTGAGTGCTCCAACTTCCAAACCCAGAGCTCCTCTTTGTGGTAGAGGTGAATGCTTTTGAGATAGGCATGGGGCAGTGTTGTCCTTGTGGTCTGGTCCTAACCAAAGCTACACTCCTTTGCCTACATTTCATACTGTCTCTCCCCCTCAGAGCAAAACTATGATATGGGTGATTGTGAGTTGTTGACTATGAAACTGGCCTTAGAAGAGTGGATGCACTGGCTGAAGGGAGCCAAACATCCCAATTCCTGGTTTGGACAAATCACAAAAATCTGGCCTATATCCAGCAGGCCAAATGGTTAAATCCACACCAAGCCAGGTGGGCACTGTTCTTTGCCCAATGCAACTTTGTGTTGTCATACAGACACGGGTCAAAGAATGCTAAGCCAGATGCTCCTTTCCGCCAGTAGGAGCCCTCACTTCTAGAACAACAGCCAGCAACCATAGTCCTAGAGGGCCGCATAGTGGGTCCCAGCAAGCGGTGGGTGGAAGCTACCATACAACGGGCCCTCAAAAATGAACCAGGTCTGGAATAGAATATATGTTCCTGTAGCTATTTGGAACCAGGTGCTGAAGTGGGGGCACTCTTCCCCATTCACTGCACACCCAGGGGTGACCCACACATTGGAAATCCTCCATAGATGATTCTGCTGCACAGAGTGTGCACCTTCAACAAGAAGCCCAGGACCAAACTGGCTGGCCTGCTCCATCTGTTACCCATTCTCTCTTGCTCATGGTCTCATGTATCCCTTGACTTCATCACAGGGTTGCCCATATCCTGGGCACTGTAATCCTGGTGATTGTTGACTGCTTCTCTAAGGTGAGTAAGTTTGTTGACCTACCGAAGATTTCATCAACCAGGGGAATTGGCAATCTATTCCTAGAGCAAGTAGTCAGAGTCCATGGATGTTCTAGAGACGTTGTATCAGACAGAGGACCTCAATTTGCCAGCTGGTTCTGGGTAGCCTTCTGCAAGCTACTGGGGGCAAAAGCTAGCTACTCATTGGGCTTTGAACCCAAGTCATATGGCCAGACGGAAAGAGTTAATGAAGATCCGAAGCACACCCTCCGGTGTCTGGCCCCCTCTGACCCTTCCTCCTGGTCCAAACACCTGATGTGGGTGAAGTATGCGCACAACACATTATGGCACTCATCTCAGGGCATGTCCCCGTTTGAGTGCCAGTTTGGGTGTGTTCCACCCAAGTTTGCAGAACAGGAGGATGTCTGAGCCCATTGGGCCTGGCAATGTGTGCATAAAGCCCTCCAGGCTGCCACCACAACTCAAAAGCAGACCGAAGATGGCGACCCACACCATCCTTCCACCCTGGACAAAGAGTCTGGCTGTCGGCCAAAGACCTGCCTCTCCAAATGGAGTCCCAAAAACTGGTGCCTTCATACATTGGACCCTTCAAAGTGGTCCGTAGGGTCAATCCAGCATTGTATCAGTTGGCACTTCCCCTGGCTCTCTGTATTAACCCCACATCCCACATTTCCTGCCTGAAGGCTATCTTGTGCAGCATTGTGGGACCTCCACACCCTGCCCCTCGAATAATCAACAGGACACCCGCCTACACAGTCAAGCACCTGCTTGATGTCTGGCAGGTGCAGGGCAGCAGCCAGTATTTAGTCAACCAGGAAGGCTACAATCCCGAGGAATGCATGTAGGTCCCGGCTGACTGCATCCTGGACCCTGAGCTTATCTGGGCTTTCAGGCAGGATTGGGCTGCAGGGCTGGGAATGTCAGGTGCCATTGATTGGGGTCCTGTAAGGCCTGGCTCCAGGGTTGTGGTGCTCCCAGCCACCAGAGGGAGATGATGTGCACCACCCAGGGCCAATCAAGCTCAACATCCTACACCTGGGCAGAGGGTTTCATAAGGGCAGAAAAGGACACACACATTGCTGTGTCTTTGTCTCAGTTTGAGTCAACAGAAGCAGCTGCCAATTTGGATAAGAAGGCTGAGAGTTTTGCACTCCCCCTCACTCCTCAAGTTGCTCCAGCCTCCTCTCAAGGTTCTCTTCTCTGTTCTTTTCTGAGGGTAAAAAAAAAATGAAGGAATCCTTTTTTCTTCTCTTCAGTTTTGTTTCTGTTGGGAAAGTCATTTGTTGCTTTAGTTACTAAGTTCTCTCTTGACTTCTGAGAAAGCCAGTTTTCCCCTGGTATCCTTTGTTGTCTCTTCTTGCCAGAACCAAAATGGTGGTTTGGAATTTGGTCATATTTTCTTATATTTTCGGGCACTTCCCTATTGCTCTCCGTACTCTTCATCCTGGCTTCAGTGGTGTAGCAGTAGAGTGCTCCCAAAGTGGCAGTATGGCCTGGGTTTGATCCCTGGCCTCATCACTCACATAAGTTTTTTAGTTGAGCTTATCCCTCCCATTGTATATTAGCTTGGCACTTGAATCATGTTTCCCTAAAATCTGTGGTGGAGATGCAGTGATTGAGGTGGACTCATGAGGGAAGTACAGCTTTTTCAAACCTGTACTCCAGTGAGTATAGGGAGGACTAGTCAGTGTCACAGTTCTATGAGGGGTTGCCACAGGTATTGCCTGAGCAAAATGAAAAGTTGGTGCAAGTGATTACCATGCAGGAGACACATGTGGCATTGCAAGGCATGGCTACTGGGAAGGCTCCAGGTATTGATGGCCTGTCCATTGAGTTTTATGAATCATTTTTGGATGTGGTTGGGGAGGACCTGCCATGCTCCACAGGCCATGCTCAATGACTGTCTCATTGGAGGACAACTGCCACTGAGCTGTAGGAGGGCAGTCCTCACCCTACTTCCCAGAAAAGGTGGCCTTAGTGAGGTTAAAATCTGGAAGCCCATGAGTTTTCTGTGCACTGATTATAAAGTCTGCAGGTCAGGTGGACACTCCCTGGTGGGCATGAAACCTTCATGGAGGGTGCTCTATAAGCCACCATTGATCAAGTCAGCTGGGGACATGCAGTGGAGAATTTTACATGGCTTAGTTGCTGTCAATGTGTTTTGTGTCCATTTTAAACCCTGCAGTCTCAGTTCATTTTTTGCTTTTGGTGAATGTTTTGACCTCCATGTTTTATGCATTAGTTTTACTTTATTTCCTTACAAAGATTGTGATATTTGTGATGATAAATGTTATTGATAT